GAGTGTGTTACTGAATATGTTAAATCTGTAGTGAAACACTTCTAATCAATTCTCAATAAAGTTTTTGTAAAAATTAAAAATAAATAAATAAATAAAAGAATTGAATAAACATACAAAAAAACTAAAAAAGAAAGTACCCTTTATATGCTCTTTAACCTAAAAATATTCTATTATTTTCATTTTATGTGTATGAGTGTTATGCCTGCATGTAAGTAAGTGCACTCATGTTGTAAATGCCCACGGAGGATAGAAGAGGTCGTCGGCTCCCCTGGAACTGGAGTTATGGACGGTCGCTAGCTGCCATGTGGGTGCTGGGATTCGAAGCCCGGTCTTCTGCAAGAACAGTCAGTGTTCTCAACCGCTGAGCCATCTCTCCAGCCCCACATAAAAATTTTTTAAAATTACATTTGTGTGTGTGTGTGTGTGTGTGTGTGTGTGTGTGTCTGTGTATGTGTGTACTTGTGGGTACACATATGTGGAAGTCAGAGGACAACTTAAGGGAGTCAGTCCTCTACTACCAATGTGGGTCCTGGGGATTAAACTCAGAATGTCAGGCTTGGTGGCAAATGCTTTTACCTGCTGAGCCATTTTGCTGGCTCTCCAATGATTTTTTTGCTGTCTCTGCTTTCTTGCTTGTTGTTAACTTCCCCAACTGTTAGCTTAAAGCCTAGACTGGACAGGTTTATTTATTTCTGTGTCCCACAGACTGGGAACATACTAGGTGTTCTGTAAACACTAATGAAGATGTATAATGTAATATATAGATTTGGGCCAGTGGGATTTGGGTCCAGTGCTGGAAGAACTGCAGGAGAATGTGCACAAACTGTGTGTGAACCTGCTTATGTGTTGTGGGTATCATGTGTGAGAGTGTGTGACAAGTAGGGGTAAGGCACTGGAAAGCCTGTCCAATATGACTGTCTTCCCCCTCTCTTCCTTCAGCATGGAGGTGGGTGTGTGTGTGGAGGCCTATCGCCAGGAGGCTGAGACCCAGAGACGGCACATCAATAGCGCCTTCATGACCTTTGTGGTCCTGGATGAAGATGACCAGCCTCAGAAGTTGCCATGGATTTGTCCCCAGCCTGGGGTAAGTAGGGCCTTCCCTAACTTCAGTTCTTACCCATACTACCCTGTGACAGGCCCAGCCTGACTTGATCAGCTCTTACTGTCCTGGTTGTGACCCTGGGGTGCTGTGAAGCCTGCCAGAACTAGAATATACAATGGGATCTGACTGATGTTGGGGGTTTGTGGGTGTGCACAGCCTGCAGGACTGCAGAGAACCCTGACTTGGGGGCCAGAGGGTTGTGGGGGTTCCACCTCTCCCACATTCTAATGGATTCTTGTGAGTTTCAGTCCTTATCTGTGTGGCAGGTGTATCTGCAGCCTCTGCCTGCCAGGCTGTGGGTACTGACTTCCCACAAAGTCCTGGGGGCACTCAAGAAGTGATGGTCAGGTTGATGGGGACAGGAGCGAGGTCACAAGGATAATTGGGCTCCAGGACCATCTGGGAAGATGCTGTGCTTGTGCTTGCTGGGGGCCAGACACTGCCTTTTATGCTTTTGACTGGAGGGCTGTAGAGGAGGTGGGAAAGAAGTGAGCTCCTAGGCTGGCCTTTTGAGTTCTGACCCTGGCTCCACCCCCTACTCCTATGAACTTGAGTGAATCACTCAATCTTCTGAGTCTCAGTTTCCTCCTGTGTAAGCTGGGGAGAGTGGGTTCTGGCTCAGGCGTCACAGCAGGAAGCAGGTTTGGAGGGTTTGGTTCCCAACTAGTGCCCAAGAAATGTGGCTCTGGGTACTACCATGAAACCCTTTAACGTTCCCTATTCTAAGCCAACAAGCGGCAGCAGATCACTAAGGGCTCTGTGGGGAACTGGACTTCAGGGGCTTTGGTACTTTCCCAATGCGGGTTTTTTTTTTTTAATTTAATTTTTTTATTTATTATTTTTATTTTATGTGTTTGAGTGTATTGCCTGCATGTAAGTGCACTTATGGCATGCAATGCCCTCAGAGGTCAGAAGAGAGCATCAGATTCCCAGAACTGGAGTTACTGATGGTTGTTAGCCACCATGTGGGTGTTAGGAATCAAACCTAGATCCTCTGTAAGAGCAGCCAGTGCTCTTAACCACAGAGCCATCTCCCCAGCCCCAGTCAGGGTGTTTGATTCCAGCTGCCCAGGTTTCAACCTAGGCTTTGTTCTGGGACTGCAGGGCCCTCCAGTCCCATGGAACAGGTATGGCAGAGCCACTGGCTACTTGGTCATTCCTTCTACATCAGACTGTTTCTGCTTCCTTCCTAGGAGGGTGAACGGCGATACAGAGAGGCTAGTGCTAGAAAGAAGATCCGCTTGGACAGGTGAATGGGGCTGGGTGGTAGGAAGGACAGTTCTTCAGGACTGGGCACTACTCTGCTGGCCCCAGGACACGCTAGCTTCTTCAGGGATTCTGGGCTGGGCACTGGGTTCCCCCATCAACCCTTTTTAAATTTTTCTTTCTTTTGTTTTGAGACAGGGTCTTATACTGTAGCACTATAGCCCAGGCTGGCTTGGAACTCACCAAGTAGTTCAGGCCGGCCTTGAACTCTTGGGAATCCCCCTGCCTTATCCTCTTGAGTGCTGGGATTACAAGTGTGAGACATCACACCCAACTCTGGGCTGACCCTTTTCATCCTGATCCCCTTTGCTTTAGCCCCATCACACAGCCATCTTATGGCCCTTTTATATACCAGGACACTAAGAATAGGGGGGTTAGATTGCTTGCCCTGGGGCACATATTTGGGTGAGATCCATTTGTTTCTGGCCTCATCTGGTGATTTTAAATCTTGGTTTTTTTTTTTTTTTTTTTGGTCTTTTTGAGACAGGGTCTCCCTGTAGCCCGAGCTGTCCTGGAACTCACTATGTAGACCAGGCTGGCCTTGAACTCACAGAGATCCGCCTGCCTCTGCCTCCCAAGTGCTGGCACTACAGGCATGCACCACCACGCCTGGCTAACTCTTGTTTTTATCCTATTGACTTTGAGGTCTGTTTGGCCTGTTTGATGAAAGGTTCAAATCCCAGCACTTGGGAGGCTGAAGTAGGAAGATTGTCATAAGTTCAAAGCTAGCCTGAGCTACAAAGACCTGTGCCAACCAAAACAAACTAGAAACAAAACCCAGAAAGGTTCAGAGCAGAGACCCAATGGTTGAATACATATAGCCTGGCATAGCTGGTTCCATTATGAAGTACCTCGTAAACTGTAGGGTACTGTAGAGGCGTCCAGGCTTACATGCTGTTGTTAAGAAAATTCTGCATTTTGGGGGGCATTTACCATAAGCCGAGCACTATGCTCTTTGGGAAGCCCCTCTGAGGCAGGGAGGATATAGATTCCATTCCACATATGGCCCTGAGATACAGTTAAAGGGGAGCCTTGGGCCCCACCCTTCTCCCTGGCTGGTCCCTTCTGAGCTGCCTAGGGTACTGGCTCATATCATGTGCTTTCATGAAAAAGATGATGTATTCTGAGTGCCAGGCAGAAGTCCCTGACCCCACTGGGCTTGGCACTGGCCTGGCATGCAGTAGCCAGAAGTGAAGTTTACCAAGAACAGTGGACTGAGGGACCCAGGTTGTCTTCTTCCCTCCTAGGAAGTACATCGTGTCCTGTAAGCAGGCAGAGGTGCCCCTTTCTGTTCCCTGGGACCCTAGCAACCAGGTAAGGCCCTCCATTCCAAGGCCCACAGTGCCCTTTCCCTCACCTCTGGCAAGAGTGAGCTTGGAGGGAGATCCAGGAGCTGTGGGAACCGTCTCCCTTATCTCATGATTGCTGCTCATACAGGGCTTGACCTGGTTTAGAGAGAAGGAGCAGAGGCCCTGGTGTGGCTGCCCAGGACTGTGTGTAGGGTCTGGGCCAGCCTGGGCCCCTTTTCCAATGCTCACTTCCTGTCCCCATACCAGCATGGCCTTACCCAGGGATTCCTGAGGTAGGGGAGGGTAGCCTGTGTGTCACTGTCCTCTTCCCAGGTGTACCTGAGCTACAACAATGTGTCCTCCCTGAAGACGCTTGTGGCCAAGGACAACTGGACGCTGTCCTCAGAGATCAGTCAGGTAGCTGACCCACCCTTTCCTTTCCTTTCCTTTCCTTTCCTTTCCTTTCCTTTCCTTTCCTTTCCTTTCCTTTCCTTTCCTTTCCTTTCCTTTCCTTTCCTTTCCTTTCCTTTCCTTTCCTTTCCTTTCCTTTCCTTTCCTTTCCTTTCCTTTCCTTTCCTTTCCTTTCCTTTCCTTTCCTTTCCTTTCCTTTCCTTTCCTTTCCTTTCCTTTCCTTTCCTTTCCTTTCCTTTCCTTTCCTTTCCTTTCCTTTCCTTTCCTTTCCTTTCCTTTCCTTTCCTTTCCTTTGCAAGTGGTCAAGGCTGGTTGGTGGCAAGCATCAAAGGGGGTATCCTCAAAGCAATTCAGGGACGTTATGAAGCCACCCAGTTCCAGAAACATTCTTTTTTTTTGTCTTTTTGAGGCAGGGTCTCCCTGTAGCCCCAGCTTTCCTGGAACTCACTATGTAGACCAAGCTGACTTTGAACAGGGATCCGCCTGCTGCTGCCTCCCACGTGCTGGGATTAAAGGTGGGAGCCACCATACCTGGCCCCCAGAAACATCCTTATCTTCAAGAGCCCTGATCCTTTCCTCCTGCCTGCTACTTTTTGCCTATTCTCCCTTGAGTCTGCTGCTCTGCACAACTTTCTTCTTTCTTTTTTAAAAATTGATTTATCTTACTGTTTTTTGTATGAGTGTTTTGCCTGCATATATGTAAACACACTCAGGTGTGCAATGCCTGTGGAGACCAGAAGGGGGAATTGATCCCCTGGAACTGGAGTTACAGATGGTTGTTAGTTGCCATGTGGGTGCTGGGAACCAAACTGGGGTCCTCTGCAAGAGCAGCCAGTGGTCTCGACCACTGAGCCATCTCTCTAGCCTATGCACAGCTCTCTTTTCTGCTCCGAATACAGTGTGTCACCACAGGGATGGGGCAGTGGGCAGTGTGGTCTCCACTCCACTTTTCACTCGTCACATTAGGGGTTGGGTGGACGCAGACTCTGCAGATCTGCTGCCTCGGTCACTGCTTCTTTAAATTTTGTTTATTTATTTATTTTTAAATATTTTATTTGTTATTTCTAAATTTTTTATATGTATGAGTGTATTGCCTGAATGTAGGTAAGTGCACCTGTGTTGTGCAATGCCTGCAGTCAAAAGAGAGCATAGGATTCCCTAGAACTGGAGCTACAGATGGTTGTTAGCTGCCATGTGGGTGCTGGGAATCGAACCCGAGTCCTCTGCAAGAGCAGCCAGTGCTCTTAACTGCTGAGCCATCTCTCCAGCCTCCTATTTATTTATTTATTGTTTGTTTGTTTGTTTTGTCTTTTTTAAAGACAGGGTCTCCTTGTAGTCCCAGCTAGCCTAGAACTCACTATGTAGGCCAGGCTGGCTTTGAACTCACAGAGATCCACATGCCTCCGCCTCCTGAGTGCTGGGATTAAAGGCATGCACCACCATGCCCAGCTCTACTTATTTATTTTTATTTCATATGTAATGAGTGTTTTGCCTGTATGCATGTAAGTGCACCATGTCATGCAATGCCTATGGAGGCCAGAAGAGAGTGTTCCCCTGGGACTGGAGTTCTAGATGGTTCTTGGCTGCCATCTGAGTGTTGGTACTGAACCCAGGTCCTCTGTAATAGCACCCAGTGCTCTTAACCACTGAGCCACCTCTCCTGCCCTGTCACTTCCTGCTCATCTGTGTTGAGTTCTCTCAGAGGTCCATATTCATGGAGTTGTGGCTGAGGCTCAGAGACATTCAATTACTTTCTCAGTCACTCAGCAGATCACTGGCAGCCCTGAACTTCCAGCAGGCCCACTCAATCACCAGTATAGTCTGGGAGCGTGGTACAAGAATGAGGCCACCCTCTGTGCCGCACAGGTCCGCCTGTACACCCTGGAGGAGGACAAGTTCCTGTCCTTCCACTTGGAGATGGTGGTGCATGTGGATGCAGCCCAGGCCTTCCTGCTGCTCTCGGACCTGCGCCGGAGGCCAGAGTGGGACAAGCACTACAGGTGAGGGGCCAGCACTAAGAGGGAGGTGGGGGGCACTGCCTGCTGCTGCTGAGCTTTGCCCCATGGCCTTCGGCAGAGTGGGTGTGAGCTGTAGTTATGTGTCAGGTGGAGGTCAAGGTCATGGGCATTTTGAGAATCCAGGGAAGGGACTGAGCCTGGAATTGGAAATGAAGGCCTGAGTTTAAGCCTTATCTCTGTTTCAAATAGCTATGTGACATTGATCAAGTCATTTTCAGGGCTTCAGCTTCTCCTTCTTAAAATGGGTACTTGTGGGGTAGGTCATGGATTTGAACTCAGGACAAATGGGTGCTATTTCAAGCTACTTGCTATGGAGTTCTACTCCAAGGGGGTTCAGGAATGCTGGGGGTGGGGTTGGAAGGCTGAAGGGTAACTGGGGTTCTCCTAGGTTCAAACCAAATGGCCAATTTATAGAATTTACTAAGTTGGCTGAGTGTTCTAAGTCTGTATACAAATGTTATAGTGAATTTAGTGAATGACTATGAATATATTATTCCTTTTGACTACTGTGTTCCTCAAATGTACTGATTCTTGATCTAAATATTTTCTTTAAGAGGATAAATATGCCAGATGTGGTGGAGCACACCTTTAATCCCAGCACTGAGGAGGCAGAGGCAGGCAGATCTCTCTAAGATTGAGGCCAGCCTGGTCTGCAGAGTGAGTTTCAGGCCAGTTGTGGCTATAGGGAGACTCTGTCTCAAAACAAAAATTAAACCAAACCAAACAAAAAACAACAAAAAAAATGCTGTGCCTGGGTGGCAGAGTCATGATGCAGTGGAAGTATACTGCATGGGCCCATAAAAAGCTGTGCCTGGTGACCTGGCCTTTTGGTGGTGTATTTTAGAAGTCAGAGAGGTGAGTGATGGCACGTGGGAACCAGTAGAAGGGTGCTAGTAGCTAGTAGAAGTGGGCTGGTGTGGGCCAGATCAGTCTTCATTGAGAGCTCAAGTGGCCTGAGGGAAAAGAGCTCCCAGCCTGTATTCTCAGCCTGGCATAGCCAGCCTGCTCCTGAGGTAGCTGTAGAGTGCAGCAGAGGGGAGAAGGGCAGGGTGTGGACTTGGTCCTGTGTCCTTGTGTGAATGTCCTGTGTGCCTTCATTTGTCAGTGCCAGTCTGTGAGTGTACATCTGGGCATATATGTGCTGGGCTTAGGTTATGGCTCTGCTGCCAGCCAGGCTGAACATCCCAGCCCTGTTTCCTTATGAGCGCTGTGGTCCCAGGATGGGTTATTCCACCTCAGCTCTATTTGGTTTACATCTCCTGGGTCACAATTCATCTCTTAGGGAACCCAAGGTAGGAACTCAAGGCAGAAACCTGGAGGAGGAGCTGAAGCACAGGACATGGGGACATGGAGAAGCACTGATTTCTGGCTTGGTCCCCTGGCCCATGCTCAACCTGTTTTCTTATACAATACAGAACAACCTGCCCAAGGGTGGCACCACCCACAGTGGGCTGGGCCCTCCCATATCACTCAAAAACCAAGAAAATAACCTGATGACATGGCCATAGGCCAGTCCAATGGACGCAACTCCCCAACTGAGGTGCCCTCTACGCAGGTGTATCAAGTTGACAACTAAAACTAGCACAGATACTAAAAGTACCTACAGCCCAGGCTGCTGTGGAGACTGAATGAGATCATAGGTGTACAGCACTTAGTACAGTGCCTGGTGCACACTGGGCATCACTAGACAGTACATACAACTGCCAAATCCTCACACAGCTACCTGGGATGTGTGCCTGTAGACAGATCTGTATGCTCTCTGTGTGTGTGCCTGTGTGTGTGCGTGCCTGTGTGTGTGCGTATGTCTGTATGTACTTTTTGTATTCCTGTGACTGTGTGTCAATTTCTTTTCCTGTTGCTGTGATAAAATACTATGACAAAATCAATTTACGGGAGAAAAGGTTTATTCTGGCTCACAGTTCAAGGGTATAGTCCATCATGGAGGGGGAATCGAAGCATCAAGAGCTTGAAGTAGTTGTTCATATCACATCCACAATAATGGGACAGAGAACCACGAATGCATGCTAGTGCTCAGCTTGCTTTCTCCATATTTTTGGTCTTTTGAGACAGGGCCTCCTTGTAGCCCCAGCTGGCCTGGAACTCACTATGTAGACCAGGCTGGCCTTGAACTCACAGAGATCTGCCTGCCTCTGCTTCTGACTGCTGGGATTACAGGCGTGCGCCACTACGCCTGACTGCTTTCTCCATTTTATACAGTCCAGGATTTCTGCCCAGGAAATGGTGCAGCCCACAGTTAAGATGGGTCTTCCCACATCAATTAATGTAATCGAGATAATCTCCTACTGGCATGCCTAGAGGCCCATCTCCCAGGTCATTCTAGATTGTCAAGCTGACAGTGAACGCAGTCATCACAGCATGTATGTTCTTGAATACGTATCTCTGTGTTGATGTGTTTGTGTGTGTCTATGTATGCCTGTGTACGCCTCCATGTAGGTATATGTGCATGTACCTGTGTGTATGCCCTGGTGTGCAGGACTACATGTTTGGTGTGTATGTGCACGTGTGCACATGCACATTCCTCCTGGGGTGCCTCCTGCACTACCTCTGACTCTGCTGAGCTGTTGTAAGGGTAAGGCATCTATCCCAGGGCTGCTAAGAAAGCTGCAACCTGTAGGGAACTGGAAGAGTTGCTTTCCCATAGGGGGCTCCTGTGGCGCCCAGATTTTGACTCCAGCCTACCCACAGGAGTGTGGAGCTAGTGCAGCAGGTGGATGAGGATGACACCATCTACCATGTCATCAGCCCTTCCCTGAGTGGTAATAGTAAGCCCCAGGACTTTGTGATCTTAGCTTCACGGCGGAAACCTTGTGACAATGGGTGAGTGCCTGCCTTTTGAGGAGTGCAGTAGGGTGGCCAGGTGGGGAGGCTTCATCTTCTGAGGGACGGGCATCAGCCTGGAGTTAGAGCTCTGTTGCCTACTGGTGGTGGGACCTAGACCCTCCCCCAGAGAGCTCTAGGCTGTGGGGAGGGATGGGGGTGTTTACTGTGGTGGCAAAGGCATACACTATGTTCAAAAACAAAGCTGTATGTTGCCCAAGTGGCCAAGGCTGCCTCCCCCAAGACTGTAGACAGGAAACTTCTCACACGGTCACCCCTTGGACTTTGCCTTCTTGAAACTTGTGACTGGTACCTGCAGCTCTGACCTGGGTAGGGGTAGCCAGGCTAGACTGCATCTCATCTGCTGAGGACAGAGACTAGAAAAAAGAAAATCTTAAGGCACATGGCTACCCCGTACACATCCACAGTGAACAAGCTTTTCTAGAAAGTCCACAAAAGGGTGCCCGAGTCTACAGTTGCCTCCTCTCTTGCTGGCCCTGAGCCAATAATCAGGCTCTGAGGAGTATATGCCTGGGGACAGAGCAGGGCCCCTACCTCTTCCTGTAGCTGATCTCTGACTCCTCACTCTTACTCCCCTCCAGGGACCCCTATGTCATTGCGCTGAGGTCAGTCACACTGCCTACACACTGTGAGACACCAGAGTATCAACGTGGGGAGACTCTCTGCTCAGGCTTCTGTCTGTGGAGCGAGGGGGACCAGTTGACCAAGGTGAGGTCTGGTAGCCCCTCTCCCCTCCACCCATTGGTGAATTGAGCTCTTTGCTGTCCAGACATGACCTTTCCAAACCTCCCCACTTTTCCAGCCTGGGGAAGCCAGAACATCAGAGGCTGAAAAGAAGGCTTCATTGAGATTTAGTCAGTGCAGTTAGTCAGTAGCTGCTGCCGGGGCTTGGAAAAAGCTCTGGACATGTACTGCAAAAGGCCTGGCTCTGATGTAAAATTGTCTCATTATTTATTTACTGTATTCTGTCTTGTCTGGAAAGGCTTTATGTAGCTCTGAGGGCCCATAAAGCTTAGCAGAACAGTCAGTATTAATTGGAAAGGTAGGGAGGTGGGGGTGGAAATGCAGCTCCCCTGGTTTGTAGTTTCCATGAGGCCATGCAGCCCCAGGCTGGCTCTGGGCCTCGCCCAGGTGGAGACTCAGCCAGTGTTGCCAAGGACCTTTGCAGGGCCAGCCTGGAGCTTATATCTACCACGTTTTTGTGACCCCAGCACTTTGATAGCTTTGGTGGTAGGTTTTGGAGACTTGATTCCTGTCCTCTAGGGCCACCTGTCAGGGAGGTGCACAATGACTGTATGGTGTGTGGTGACAGGGCAGTGAGATTGAAACACCCTGAGGGTCCATGAGACCTGCCAAATGAGGCCATGCTTGCTAATTTGGTTTCTGATTTTTTTCCATTTATTTTATGTACATGAGTGTTTTGCCTGCATGTATATAGTGCACCATGTGCATGTAATGCCTGCAGAGTCCAGAAGAAGGTCTCAAATCATCTGGAAATGGAATTATGGACAGTTGTTAGCTGTCATGTAGGTGTTGGGACTGAACCCCAGTCCTTTGCAAGAGCAGCCAGTGCTCTTAACTGCTGAGCCATCTCTCCAGTCCCTAATCTGGTTTTGTAACTGACCTCCAAGACCCAGGGTTGTACCTGCTGCCTTCTCAGAAGGCAGGAAAGGCTGACTCCCCACCACCTGCCTCCTGCCCAGAGATCCCTATTCCTCTTCCCTACTCTGCCTCTCTGAGCTTGGCTTTTTGCCCTGCAGGTTTCCTACTACAACCAGGCCACCCCTGGCCTTCTCAACTATGTGACCACCAATGTGGCCGGCCTGTCCTCTGAGTTCTACAATACCTTCAAGGCCTGTGAGCATTTCCTCTTGGACAACCGGAACGACCTGGCTCCCGGCTTGCAGACCCTCTAGGTGGTGCCCCATACTGCCCCAGGACTCATGCACACTTCGTGGATCAAAGCAGAAACGTTTATTCACCCTGACTGCCCAGGGAAGCCTCCCATGTCACATGGTGCAGTCCCACTGGGTGGTCACTTCTTGCTCACATCTCCTAGCAAGTCTTCCCGGTACCCTTTGGGTAGCCTGTAGTAGACTCGGGTCCTGTCCACGGTCCTGGCCATCCACAGCCCAGCCCACACATCTGCATAGCTGCTCCCTGCAAGGCTGTACTGCACTGTGACAGTGGCCCGTGGGGAGGCTGCCAGCAGCCTGGTCATGGTTTCCACCGTACTCTGGCCCAGTGGCCCAGCCTGCAGCTGGAAGGACACAGATTGCCAGAGTCCCTGACACAGCTCCAGCATATCTGTAAGCAGCTGCTCCTGGTAGCCACTGCTCAACACCTCTTCAGGCCAGCCTGGTGCCACGGTCACATGGGGGAAAATCTCAGCCACAGCTGTAAGCAGCTCTCTGCCAGCCACGTAGCCAGGGGCCACAAAACTGCCATGTGAGATTGTGGCCCCCACCCACACAGGCCAGGGCAGATGTCCAAGGTTGGAGAGGTATGCTAGCATAGCTAGGGATGGCCGGAGGGCCATGGGTTCTGCTATGTTCACATAAATGCCCCAGTGCCCATGGCGTGTGGCCAGCTGCAGCAGGCATGACTCCAGTGTCAGAGCAGGGCTATCTAGGGCACGCACAATGGGCACAGGGTCCCCAGCGGCATTTCCCTGGAGGCCAATGTCCAGCAAGATCATGCCTTCTGTGTCTGAAAGAGGCAACAGTGTTTGTCATCATGGGATGTCAGTGTCTCTTGTTAAAGGGGTGGTAGAGGTGATGGGAACAGACAAGGAGGAGGTGCCTGCGCACTCTAGAATCTGCCAACTCCATGACAGGCTCCAGGTGCTGTGGCTGGTGACTATCAGACAGACATGGCAAATTACTGGCTTGGTTCTTGGCCTTTGTGACTCAGAGCTGTGCTACTGCCCACTCCTCTAGTCACAATGTGACCAAGGACTCAGTGCTGCTGGCCTAAGGCCAGGAGGCCCCTGCTCTTGACATTCTCTCCCTACTTTGTAATCAGTGTGTAGCTTATCATATTGCCATGGTACTAGAGACCCAGGGTACACACCCAAGCAAGGACAGACCCACAGGTTAGCCAGGAGGTCTTCAGACAGACTCACCAGGGATGGTAATGGCCACTGTCGTCCCACTGTCTTGCACTTCTGGTACCAGCCACTTGACCTCTAGACCGTCACTCCCGGGCTGCTGGAGGAGGGGGATCAGGCTGCCACCTGTGTAGTACGTTCGCTTCCGGGTTGCATTCACTGTGGGACCCCAGATCACCAAGGCGAAGGGATCACTATCCATGAATCACCTTGTATATGTCCTGGCTCTTCCCCATCCTAAGCTTTGTAGTAACCCACAGGATTGCTGTTGCTTCCCCCTTTTATACATTAGAGGTCATCAGTTCGAAGTCCTGTGGCCAGTAAGCAGAGTTACTGGACCAGGAACCAAATGGAGCTAGAGCTGGTGGGTCCCAAAGCTGGTCAATCCCCTCCCTCCTTTAGGTGATTTCTTTAGCAGGAGTGTGAAGTCTAATATGACTCCTTGGGACAGCTTAACTGCAGGTGCTTCTTCTTGGCTCAGTCAGGGTCAAGAGAATGAGGGGTTTGCAGAGTGGCATCTGGATCATGAATTAGTGAGCACACAGAAGGACTTTCCCCTGAAGCACCAGTGTCACCTGAAGATGAGCTGTGCTATGCTGGCAAGTGTGTGCAGTTTGGAGTTGGCTGGGATCCTACCTGAGCTGTGTCTCGTATAAGCTGCATGCCTATAAATTCCCTCTAGTTCTGAGCTTCCATTTCCCTCTGTAAAAATCCTGTTTTGTAGCTAAGTGAGGCTTACATAGCATACTCTCCCAAGGGCTGGCAAGTGACAGGAGCTCAGGACAGCTCCTGTTTTCTATTCTACCCAGGATTTTTCCTTCTGAGGTCCCCAACCCCAGCTCTGCTCCAGTGCCCACCCAGGGCTGCCCAGCACAGAACCCAGCCCACACCTCCCCTTCCAGGTTCCCTCCCTACAGGCCAGCTGCTTGAACTTCGACAAAACAGGCTCAAAGAGGTCATAGTAGATTTGGTGGGTGGCACTGTTGTCCCGGATGTAGAGGAGATCATCTACTGACACGGGGTCCGAGGTACCCTGCCACAGCGTCAGGCTGTACCTGGGACCAAACAGCTGACTCAGTGCCCACCAGGGCCCAGAGAGACCCTCAGCTCCACTCCTGTGCTCAGAACTGAATGCCAGATGAGCCCAGAGGTGGAATATCCGTCCTCCAGATTCCTACTAGGCTCGCCTCCCTAAGGACCATCCCTTCTGGGAGATGACTGAGATCGACCATTCAGGATAGGAGGATGTGCCCACTTGGAGTCTCTCTGAGTTACCCACCAATGGGAGCAGTGAGTAGCCCATTGCCAGGGGTATACAAGCCAAAAGTATGGCATTGCAGAAGGTTCTAGGCAACCAGTAGGTTCTTTAGGACCCCTTACACCATATTCATCTGGGATCTTCCCAAGTAGGCATCAGAGCCCAGGATAGACTCGGAGCCAGAGGAAGCTGACAGGAATCTTGGGGTCTTCACCTCTCAGATTGGCCCAGCAGCCAGCTGAAGTGGGGCCAAGCAGCCCGAGCCATTACAGCCCGCACAGGGAAGGTGACCCTCTGTGGCAGCGCTCTCACCAGCTCCTGCATTTTTTCCACCATGTCTTGGGTATATGTGGAATTTGGCAACTGAGGCACATAGAGAGTGGTGAAGCCTAGAGACAGGGTGACTTCTGGGTACTTCTCCTGGACCAATGCCAGGAACCTGCAGAGAATTGAGACACTGATCTTTACAGACCATACTGGTCCCTTCTTGTGGGTTCTCGCCACAGGTTAGGGAGCAGCTGGGCCTGTTGAATATGTGCTTAGAGGACAGCAATAGAACCCTGTCAAGCAACCGTGGCCTGCACATACCTCCAATACCTCCATCCTGAGTAGTCAGGGAGGTCTGGGTTGAGGTCCTGACTCTGACTCTGGTGATCATGTAGCCTCTGGTTCTCAAAGACAGTGATCCTCTGCTAGGGCAGGGCCTTTTTTTTCCCCCCATCTCTTTGAAGCAGGGTCTCCCTGTAGCCCCAGCTGTCCTGGAACTCACTATGTAGACCAGGCTGGCCTTGAACTCACGGAGATCCACCAGGCAGGCAGATCCTTTTAAGCAATACAATGTGGACAGAAGAGGCTGAATCAGAGTTCCAGGGTGTGCAGACCTGGGCTCTGCCAGCTAACTGTACATTTCCGAAGTTTTGGATTCTTAAAAAAATTTTTTATATGAATGCGCATGCCTGTGATCCCAGTATTTTCGAAGCGGAGGCAGGAAGATCAGGAGTTGAAAGTCATCCTCAGCTACGTAGTGAGGGCAAGGCCACGCCACCTTGGGCTGTATGAGATTGTTTCAAAACAAAATTATTTGAATTTTGTTCTGATGCAGATTTTAATAGGCAAATGATGTCACGCACTGCCAGCCCCCCAGATGAGTAAAATCAGTACCCTGAGAGTCCTACTTGTCTTAAGCCCTTGACTACATTTTCAAATGGCTCTTTTCAAATGCATGTCACTTTGAGAATCAGTAAATATTAGGTGGCCGGGCAGATGGAGGGAGAGGCACAGTAGAGCAAGAAGCTCTGTGGGAACCTTTGCTCTGCCACTCTGTAGACTGAGGCAGGCCATTTAACCTCTCTAAGATAGTTCCTGTACTCGCACGATGAAGATGACTGTAGCTACCTCATTCTTCTTAGAGTTCAGCTCTACACTGCAAGTCAAGTGCTCGAAACAGTGCCTGGGGCACACAATAAACTCTCAACAGAGCATATCTCAGTTGTAAATGTTCAACATGGGGAGAAACATATTCCTAGCCTGGTATGGCTGGGCTTTCAGAAGGGCCAGGAAGGGAGCCCATTCTTTTAGACTTTTTTGAGCAGTCCAAATTGTGTGCTTGTTGCTGGGGAGACAGGATGTGGCTGAATGCTCCCAAAGAGTCCACAGGGGAGGGGCTGGTTGCTCTTGCAGAGGACCCAGGTTTGGTTCCCAGTACCCACATGGCAGCTAACGACTGTCTATAACTCTAGTTCCAGGGGGATCTGATCCCTTGTCTGGTTTCCACGGACGTGGCACACATGGGCACACTTCTGTACATGCAGGCAAAATACTCGTACACATTAAAAAAAAAGCTCACAGTACAGAAGGACAAGTCCACAGTGAGTCCAACACAGGGCTGATCTGGGAGGAAATGTGGGGCCTGAGGGGCCCAGAGGAAGTCCTGCAGGAGCCTGGGATGTTAGAGATGGTTCTTGAGGTGACAGTGATTGGGGAAAGGATCATCAGCAGAAAAAAAAAAAAAAAAAAAGGAGATGGAGATGGGATTAGGAGTTCAAGGCTAGCTTGAACTACATGCCAAGTTCAAGGCTAGCTAGGGCTACATACAACTGTCTCAACCCTTCCCCACATGTCAAAAAAACAACTGCCAGATACAGAGTCCCACAACTGTAATGCCGGTAACTCAGGAGGCAGAGGAAAGAGGACTATTAAGTTTGAGAACAACCTGGTCTATATAATGAGTTCCAGGCCAGCCAGGACTACATAGGGAGGCTCTGTCTCAAAAGCACAGTAGTCAGACATCCAAGACACGGAATAGTGCATACAAATGCTCAGGGATGTGCCAGCAAGATGGCTCAGCAGGTGAAGGCCAAGACTGATGACCTGAGTTCAGTCCCCAGAACCCACTCCCTCAAGTTGTCCTCTGACCTCCACATCTGCACTATGGCATGCACATAAATACACACAGAATAAATAAATATAAAGGTTGAGAGGTGAGATCTCATGGTGGGACCTGCAATTGCAACAAAGCTCCCCAAAGGCCCCCTTCCATGCTTGGTGCTTACAGGAGAGGCCTGGACTCAGCTGGGTAGAGGGCAAACACTCACTGTGTAGCATTAATCTCAACTGAGATGGGCACGTTGGGGCCCTTCACAATATCAGCATTGACCCATACAGGCCTCTGGATCCTGCCGGAGTCTGTCAGCTGCCGCAGGAGGTCCAGGGAGGGGCCCACAGCCTTGAGGCTCTTGAAGTCCAGTTTGATGCCTGTGGGAAAGGAGTAAGGGCTGGGGACCTGGAAGCTGACTTGCTGGGTAGGAAGAGCTGGTAGGGGTGGGGGCAGGGGTTAGGAGAGAGTAGGAAGATGGAGGCCAAGTGATGGTGGGGTGTGAGGACAGTTTTCAGACAGGGAGCCAACCCAAAGAAGGGCTTGCCTCTCCATCCCAGGTGGGTAGAAACAGAGGCTACTTAAGGGCCTGGGCTGGTGCAGGGAGACTCAAACATTTGATGAAAAGGGCTTCAGTTTCTGGACAGGACAGACTTGGGCTCTGAATCACCACAGCCTGTGAGGGGTCCATTCCAGGAAGGGGTATATGAGTAGAGGGATCAACCAAGTAAAGAAAGGACCTGGTGTGAAAGAAAGCCCATCTTAACCATAAGTGACAAGTAGACATGGTTTCAAAGTTACAGAAGTTGAAAGTCAAATCATAACAATGGGGAGCCATGGAAGGTTAAAAGCAGAGGTGTGACTTTTTGGAAATGATCACTCAAGTATGTGACAGTCAAGGCTCATCGAAGAAGATGGTCCAGGGGAGATGTGGCTGAGATTGGGGCTATAGCTGGCAGGTGCAGCATCAGAGTGTATGAGGAGGATGAGGTAAAAGGAAGGGTTACAGTGAGGCCTAGATCCTGACTGGAAAGGAGACATGGAGGAGAGAGGTTTTGGCTTCAAACACATTCTATCCAGTTCTGTGAACCCAGAAGGGACACCCGTGATCCTGTCTCCACCTGATCTATGGGTTCTGGGGAGAACTGGGTTGAACTTGCCCTCCCCACTTCACTGAGCCTCCCCTGAGTCTGAGCGATGGAACTCTGGACAGTGAGGAGCTCTAGGTGGGCCCTGGCTTCACCTCACCCTAGAGGGATTCCTACCCAAGGACAGAGGGCTGGGGGGCTGGGAGGGCTGGGAGAGGGGGGCCTTACCCTTTTGGGAAGAGGCCAGCACAGCCTCCAGCCACTGTTCCAGGGTGTTGTCGCTATAGATGGCTGGAGGGTGGGCCATAATGGGCACCCGCGTCTCGTTGGCTGTGGCGAACCCTTCTACATTGACATCTGCCTCCAAGACCATGACATCACCTATTTTTAGGAGGCAGAACTCAATGAGTGCTTTTAAAAAAATGTATTAATTTGTGTGTGTGTGTGTGTGTGTGTGTGAAGACAATTTTCAGGTTCTAGGACTGCAGGAGTATGCTAGCATGTCTGGTATTTTGTTTCTGCTTTTGAAACAATCTTTTTTAAAAAGTATTTTATTTATTATTTTTATGTATATGAGTATATTGCCTGCACATATGTAAGTGCACTCCTGTCATGCGATGCCCACGGAGGTCAGAAGAGGGTGTTGGATCCTCTGGAACTGGAGTTAGGATGGTTGTCAGTTGCCATCTGGGTGCGGGGAATTGAACCTGGGTCCAATGGCTAAGCCATTACTCCAGCCCCCTGAGACAGTCTTGCTATTTAGCCCAGGATGGCCTGGAACTTTTATCTTTCTACTTCAGTCTCCCAGGTCTGGGAGTGTGCCACTACCATGGAATTCCTTGGAGGTACCATGGAATTTTACCTCAGCTCGTTCCATCCTTGTGCTCTATGCTGTGCTTTGAGGTTGGTGCTGTTGACCTCATTGTTGACAAGCTCCTGGGCCCCAGAACACAATCAGGAATCTTAGAGCCCTTTTCAGCTGGGATGGGTCATGGATGCTATGAAATGGCTTTTATTTGTATGACTTGAACACAAAGATCCTTCTTTTGGCTACTCGGGAATGCAGTGGGATGATCCCCTAGGGCTTGGGACACAGAGAATCTAGTCTCCTATCAGATAAGGAGGTGGCTCAAGCCAGGTGTGATGGCACACACCTGTAATCCCAGCACTTAGAAGCTGGAGGCATGAAGATTGAGAGTTCAAGCCTAGCCCAAGATACATAGGGGGACCCTGTCTCAACAAAACCAAGGGCTGGGGATGAAACACATTGTAGAAAGTTTACTAACATGCATACGCCCTGAAACCAACACCCAGCATTGCCAAAATAAAATAATTTCAGGCCAGGCATGGTGGCATGTCTACCATCCCAGGAAGGGTCCTGCCATTGATGGGATAGGATGAAGATGGAGAGTGTGCTCTGGACCTGAGTGGCCTCCCTGTGATGGCCACCTGGATTGGATATCCATGCTGAGAGAAGGGGCCAGAATGCAGGTCTGGAGGCAGACACAACAGTTCAGATTTATCTTGGCATTTACCAGTAGTGATTCCAGCTGGGCATGGCAGTGCACGCCTGTAGCCTCAGCACTCAGGAGGTAGAGGCAAGAGATTAAGACTTCAAGGTCATCATTGACCCCATAGCAAGTTCCAGGTCAGCCTGAGCTACAAGAGATCCTGCTGGGGGAGGGTGTGTTAAAGGGTTAGGGTTAGGGTTGGGGGCGTTGCTAGCAGTGATTCCAGGCAAGTGACTTCCTAGTCTGCAGGTCAGTCTCCCCCTCAATAAAACATGGCTTGGTAGTGTGATTACATCATTTGTCACCCAAACTGGGGCATGATTGATTGTAAAACAGGTTATTGTTAGTAATTATACCGAGACAGCAGAAATACACCAGATGGTCCTGGGTTATTGTAGGTAAGTGTAAATAATAATTAACACTTAATGAATGCCTAACCAGGGATATGTTATTATTTAATTCGCAAAGACAAGGAAAACAGGTGCAGAGAGGTCAGATAATCTGCTCTGGGTCACAAAGCTTACAGGTATGAGGGCTAGAGGCTGAGAACCAGCGGTATGGATTCAGGGTCAGCACACTTGGCCACCATGCTCTCCTGCCTGGATGGAGAGGGTATGGAGCACTTGGCGGCTGCATGGCCCCGGTCCTCTGGAGAACAGCCCCTTAAGGACCCAAGCTCCTGCTCACCTTCTTTTGCTAAAGGTGTTCGTCTTCATGTTCTTTGCTTCTGGGCACTGGGGCCCTTGGCTCTTTTTTTTAGCCAAGGTCCTGGCTTAATGGGACCCTGATGGCTCCTTATTGTGCTAGGCTGCCCTGGATGAAGCTAGGTGGATGAAGCCAGGTGGCAGGTACTTTTGGAGTTCCCTCAAGCCTCTAGCCTGGTTCCCTTGTCAGGACAGAGGGACATGAAGACTGTATCAGGGGACATAGCTGAATCGGCAGCAGATGGGCCTCTCCTGGCCTACCCTGGTCTCTTCCTACCTGCCTCCCCACCTCTGTGATGTCCTCCCCACCTGCCACCTAGATCTTCAGCCAAACTTTTCTGCTCAGCCCTCATGACAGGCCCATACGTTGGCCTCATTCCTCTCTGACAGTGGAACCTAGAATCAGCCGCTATGCTTCTCTGAGCCTCTGTTTTTCTTCCACGAATGATACCCATAAGCAGCTGAGGGCATGGCCCTCAGGAGAACTCCCCGTGGAGGGGAGTGTGTGCTTGTCACTGACAGGATAGCATGAGCATTTTGCTTGTGGGATTCCAAAGAGCTCCTCAGATATCCACAGCTTATTTCAGTACTGCCGGCTTTCAAGTTCACATCTCTAGCTTCCTTAGACCTGGAGGTCAAAGGCCTCCTTAGCAGGGACCATTAGCCCTGACAGGCTGAGGGAGAGTGACTGGAGTGAATAGAGTACAGTGGTGAGCCTAGAATTAACATCAGAGTTCACCAGCTTCTCAACCTGGGAGAGGGCCTTAGTCTCCAGTCCTGCTCCCTGTGGCAGGCATTTGGAAATAGCCACCACAGGGCCACTATGACCATGGTGTCAACCTCCCTCTGCCTCCCCTACCTCCAGGCAGGGCAGCTGGACTTACTGCTCAGAGCTGCCTCCATTTCCTTCTTGCTGTTAGCTGCATGATACCAGGTGACCAGCAGGCCATCTCGGTGACTGATGTGGCCTGTACTCATCATGTAGTCCAGCATGTCAGCATCAGGACGACAGACTACCTCCGGGTCACAGCCTGGAACCAGTGTTGAGAGGGCTGTCGGTGCTAGCTCTCACCCAGCCCAGGATGCTTAGCCACCATCCTCCCTCCCCTGGACTTCCCCCACGAATCCAGCATGAGACCAGCACACAGGCAGCAGGACCCAGAGCCCTTGGCACAGCAAGGCAGGGAGCCAGCCTGAACTGGTGGCACATGCCTTTAATCCCAGCAGTTGGGAGGCCAAGGCAGGAGCATTGCTAAGAGTTTCAGGCCAACCTAGACTACATTTTAAGTTCCCAGGTCAGCCTAGGCTATAGGGTGAAACTCTTCCTCAAACAAATAAAATGGTGGCTATAGATGTAACTCAGTTGGTAGAGTGCTTGTCTAGCATACAAGGCCCTAGGTTTAACACCCAGCACTACATAAACCAGGCATGTTGGGACACATCTGTAATCCCAGTACTAGGGAGATAGAGGCAGGAGGATTAGAAGTTCAAGGTCATTTTTGGTTACATAGTAAGTTAGAAGCTGGTCTGGGATAGGAGACCCTGTCTCAAAAACAAACAAAGGTCAGAGAGATAGCTCACCAGGCAAAAGATACTTTTTTTGCCTCTAAGCCTGACAACCTGAGTTTGATTTCTGGATCCCACATGGTGGAAGGAGAGAACTAACTCCCGAAAATTGTACTCTGACTTCCATGCATGTACGCACAAACATGTATACAAAATAAATGTAAAAAAATTAAAACCCAAACCCAATAGCAAGAAGATAGGGACTTGGATGGACTCCTGGGGCCACAGAGGCCCTGGTGCTGGCCTAGGTTCACCAGGGAAGGGGGAGCTCAAAGAGAAAGGGACATGTAGGAGGGACCTGGAGGCATGGGTATATATTTGACAGGAAAGGGAATAGATGACTCTGGATAGAAATAGAGTGAAGGTTTGGCCATGGGAAAGAGCGTGTTTGTGCAAAGGAATGGCCTTTGGCTGGGCCTCAAGGAAGAGCAAGAAATGGAACAGAGCAAGGTTTGAAGAGAGCTTGATCCCCAGTAGAGGGGCTGGGCATGTTCAGGGGAGTGAGCCAGTGAGCTGTGTTTAGAAAGAGCTTGCTGGCTGTGGAGAACAGTGGCTGGTAAGACCCTACTGGGGGCAGACTTGTATATGAGGGGAAAGCCCTGAAAGAGTCCAGGAGAGAGCTCTGAGGCCTCTGAGAGCAGGGATGGTGGGAGAAGAGGGGAGGGTGGGAAGCCAGGCTCAAGACAGTCATAGGTGTGAGGACTGGGAATAGGGAGCTTCCTGAGTGATTTAAGGGCCCTTCACCAAGGAGAGGATGCAGTGAGCAGCAGGTGTGTGTGGAGTGTGTGAAGTTAGCTCAGGGTGCTCAGAAAGTCTCCAAGAAGGAATGTCCCTCCAGAGACACAGGAGGAAGGTCTGGGCTGAAGGCTGAGATTTGGCGACCAGGGGAAAGTCAATGGTATTTTCTTCTGGGGATGAAGTCTTGGTAGGGCTGGGGTACCAAAGACCTGAATGGAGCTGGCTGTGTCAGCTGAGCTTGGTTGAGTGAGGGATGAGAGATGAAGGGGGAGTGCAAGAAGTGGGAGTTCCTACCTGACTGGGTGCCCCGATGCAGAGTGAGGCCCAGGACCATCGAGATGGTCAGTACCAGGGTCACACTGGCACTGCCAACAAGGATCCACTTGGTCTGGCTGTTTGAGTACCACTTCTTGCAGGTCATGATGACCCTCATTGAAGAGCATTCCCTTCCAGGCTCCTCACACCCACAGTCCCCCAGGCTCCCTGCAGCTGGGATCCGGTGGGAGACAGGAGCCCTCAGCAGCACCTAGTCCTCCCCAGGTCTGGCCACTCCTGCAACCTGGCCAGAGAGAGTTCAGAAGCCCTGCCCTCCTTCCCTGCCTTCAACCTCTTCCCCTCACCCATCCTGTGTCTTACTTAGCAGGCCAAGCAGAAAATCCTGCCACCCCCTAAATGACCTTTGAACACAGCATGAGGCAGTGGAGGGTGCTGGATGGATCCGACTGCTGGTGTAAGAGTCGGAGGGCAGGGATCTAGCTGAGCTGGTCTGTGCTTCTAGGGGTCTGGAGCAACCCACTGTCCTTCCCAGGCCTTGTTTTGCCTATGTAAAAGGGAGCAGCTGAACTGAGTGATCTATTTACTCCTTTGAGTTCTTTCTGCCCTGCTCCAAGGGCACCCCTAGGTCAGGCAAGGGTTGGTGAAAAGAACAGATTAGATCTGCCCTAGGGACATGAATTTCCTTCTATCTGAGATGGAGACTGATAGGCAGGGCTGGGGTGGGAACTGATAGTCCTGGCATGCTCCTGGGTTGGTGTAGGTCACCTCTGGGGCAGCAGTCCTCTCTGCCACAGGCTGGGGAATTTAGATGAGTCAGAGTCAGCGTGAGGAGCATGCAGAGGGACTATAGCTTAGAGGTTCCGAGACCCAGCGGGGCAATCACTGGCAGGTTAGCTGGTGAGTGAGGGGCACGGGACTTGCATTTTTATGCTTCATTAGTAATAATAACAACAAAATAGATTTATTGCTTTTCCAGGAAGTTTATTTCACTTACTTGTCACAACACCACTGCCAAATGGTTCCTATGTCCCCATGTTGCAAAAGCCGTTAAGGCTCCCAGGGATCACTACTTTGTCTCAAGTCATATTAGTGTCACATTCAAACATAGGACTGGCTACCTCCAGGCTGGTCTCTTCTTGTCCATCCTGATTAACAATGGGAAGGGTTATATTTAATGTCAACACTGGACAAATCTTGGTGGAAATGCCCAAAACTTAGTTTTGTTTTGACAAGATCTCACTATGTAGTCCTGACTGACCAGGACTCCCTATGTAGACCAGGCTAGCCTTGAATTTACAGAGATCCACCTGCTTCTACCTCCTGAGTGCTAGGATTAAAGTCAAGATGACTTGCTAGACAAAGGTACTCACTGCCAACCTAATGACCTAAGTTCCATCCCAGAGACCCACATGGAAGGAGAGAATGGAGAACAGATTCCTACAAATTGTTTTCTGCCCTCCATATAAACACCACACACACACACACACACACACACACACACGCACATACACACGTGTGTGTGTGCATGTGTGTGTAGACCAGAGGTTAGCCTCAGGTGTCTTTCCTCAGGTGTCATTCACTTTGTTATGATTTGTTCATTTGGTTTTTGAGATAGAGTTTCCCTATAGCCCCAGCTGACCTGGAACATGCTATGTAGACCAGGCTGGCCTCAATCTTACAGAGATCTGCCTGTTTCTGCCTTCCAAGTGCTGGGATTAAAGGTGAGCGCCACCATACCCAACTTATTATTATTTTGAAGATTTATTTTTATTATTTTTAGTTACATGGATCTGTGTGTTACTTGTTTGTGGGTATGTATGTGTGCATGAGTGCAGGTGCCCTTAAGAGGCCAGAGGCATTGAATCACTCTGAAACTAGAGTTACAGATGGTTGTGAGCCACCCTATGTGGGTGTTTTCTGCAAGAGCAATACATACTCTTAATTGCTAAATCATTTCTCTAGCCCTCACCTTAGTTTTGGGGACAGGGTCTCTCACTGGCTTGGGGCTCGCTGATCAGGTGAGGCTGTCTGGCCAACCAACCCCAGAGACCCTCCTCCTGTCTCCACTTCCCCAGCACTGGGATTACAAGCGGGTCCTTGTGCTTTAAAAAAAATATTATTTTTATTATTTTATGTGTACGAGTGTATTGCCTCCATGTATGTGAGTGCACCGGGGTCGTGCAATGCTACAGAGGTCAGAAGAGAGCTTCAGATTCCCCTGGAACTGGAGTTAAGGCAGTTAGTATTTTTTTTTTTTAATTATTTTTGCACCAGGTGTGGTGGCATATGCCTTTAATCCCAGCACTTGGGAGGCAGAGCCGGGCGGATCTCTGTGAGTTCAAGGCCAGCCTGGTCTACATAGTGAGTTCCAGGACAGCTGGGGCTACAGTCTCTAACTCAGGCTGGTCTAAAACTCCCTATAGAGAAAAGTCTGGCTTGAGCTTAGAGCAAACTTCCTTCTTCAGCTTCTCAACAGCTGAAACTAATTTAAAACTTAGTTCTTCCAGTATAGGAGGGCACTTCATGTTCAGAAGTGTGGCTCATTAGGTGACAGAGACAGGAGTCCGGTGCCAATCTCAGCCACATAGAAGCTTGAGACCATCCTAGAAAACATGAGACTGTCTCAAAAGTGGAGGTGACTGCAGGCAGTGGGTAGATACTGAAGATATATGTGATATCAGCTGGAATCCTGGTCCACTCATGATCATGTGATCATGATTTACCATAAGAAAATTATATATATATTTTGGGGGGGCCTTTAATTTAGTGATACAACACTTGCTTAGCACACATGAAGCCCTGGGATAAATCCCCAGGCTTGCAAAAAAACTTTAAAAAGTTTTTTTAAAAGCTAAGCCTGGCTGGGCATGGTGGCACATGCCTTTAGTTCCAGCACTAGAGAGGCAGAGACAGGCAGATCTCTGGTCTACATAGTGAGGTCAGCCTGGTTTACATAATGAGTTCCAGGTCAGCTGTGGTTACAGGGAGACCCTGTCTCAAAAAGACACACATACATAAAAGCTAAGCCTGGTAGTGCAGGCCTGTAATCTTAGCTACTAGGGAGGCTAAGTCAGGAGAATAACAAGTTCGTGGCCTACCTGGGCTACAGAGCGAGTTCAAGTCCAGCCTGGGCTACTTAGAACTTGTCTAAAAAAAAAAGTTAAGAAGGCTGGTGATATAGAGTACTTGCCTAGCATGCAGGTTCAATCTGGGTTCTGTCACCAGTACTATAAAAAATAGAAAAACACTCATATGTCACAATGAAAATATGAGTGACCATGGCTTGAGAACACAGGTTCAAGTTATCCCAAATGATGTGTTCCCCCACAGAAAAGGCACATGAATTTTTATAGTACCAGAAAACAAAATCATCACTGTATTTACAAAATGCAGGTGGGGCTGCAATAGGATAGGAAATCCCTGGATGTAGAGACTGCCTTCCTGCATTCTTAGTGTTAGCACTGGTGGAGCCTGGGCCAAGCTTAGAGACACGTTCCAAGAGTTTCATGGAACTCAAAGGATGTTAGGTCACAGGCAGAGTAAGTGGCTATTAAAAGGAGCAGAGCCAACCATGGTGGCACATGCCTGAAATCCCAACACTTAGAGGTGAAACAGAAAGACCTGGTGGCTACTCTTGTAGGAAGCCTGGGAAGAGAGGGAGGAATCAGAAAGGGTCTTTGGGAGGCTTGTCAGGAGGAACTGTTATGGGATGTTTGAGGGAAGTGTTTTAAATAATAAAGATTCTTTGCAGGTTTGATAAGTGCATATATATATATAAATTCATTGACAATCCTTTTTTTTTGACAGTCTTTTTAAGATAGTATTTGGGATGATAGAAATTGAGATTTGGGGATAATTCCTGTTTTTAATACTGTCAGGCTTACATTGATACTATAGGGTAATACAAAAAGTTATTCATGATACTG